CACCCAGAAATGGCTCTCAGGCTGAAAAACCTGTTACCATTTTCTAATGAAATGTATGGGGAGGAGGCAGTATTTCTTCAAAGGGTGAACAAGAAAGAACCACTTGCATCAGAATTACTTGGGAAGTTTTTTTTTTTTAAGGCAGCTAAATCCCTGAGCTACATCCCAAAACAGTTAAACAAGAATCTCAGGTTGTGCAATCTCTCTTTTTAGGAAGCTCCCTCAAGTAAGTCTTATAGCACAGTAGAGTTTTAGCACCTCAGGGGCAGTGCAAAGAACTCTGGACTAGGAGTCACAACACCTGAAAGTCTGCCACTTAAAAGCCACATGACTGTAGTAAAGTTACTTGATGTCTCTACGTCTGTTTCCTCACCTATAAAATGGGCACACAAATTCTCCCTGAATTGGTGATTGTCAATCACCCAAAGCATATGAAAATTCCCTCATGGACCAGAAATCACCAGGACCATGACAATGTACTGAACAGTCCCCTCTGCTGTCCCTGCCCCCTTGGTGCAACTGACCTCTGATCCTGTCCTGAGCCCCTGCATGGAGCCTCTCTGATAAAGCACCTTCTGCCAGGGACTGCAGGCAAGGAACAAGGGGGTGTCCAGAGGCTCCAAGTCTCCTGATTAGTTGAACTTTAGAATGCATTTTCCTATGGAAAATTGCCAAGGAAAGGTGGGCTAAGTAAAAAATAACGATGATAACATGTTTTTGCAGTAAAAAATTGAGGAGGCTTTTGGGTGAGAGGTGGAAACCCCAACTATCATGCATTTCAGCCCTCTGGTGGAAACTGTGCTTCAGGCTCTAAATTTCAGGCTCTAGACTGACTCAGGGATGAATATTTGGAAGCTGAAGCCAATCTGTGGTCTCTTCTCCTGTAGAGCAGGAGTCAGTACTTTTCATAGAGTGCCAGATTCTATATATCCTGCCACATGCTCTGTTGTTACAGTACAAAGAAGGCCATAGACAGCATGGCTGTGTTGGCAAATACACAAAACAGGCAACAAGCTGTATTTGGCCTTTAGGCTGCAGTTTACCAACCCCTGTACTAACACAAGGAGCTCAAAGGTGGCGGTGGTGGTGTGCTGGAGCTAGCTTATATCAGCTTGCAATAGCCAATTCTTAACATCTCTTCCAAACTCTGTGTCTGTGCCTTCATGTTGGTAGTTTGAAATTGGCCATAGTTATGCCATGGAAATTGGCAAAAGCTGTATACCCATCTTCACCAGCCCCCTGAGAACCAGCTGATCACATCACTAGGCATGTGTCCACCAGGATGAGATTGAGGGCTGGGGTTGGTTGAGCAAGACAGTGCATGGGAATGTGGGAAGAAAATATTAGATGTCAGTTCCTATTTTATTTAGTCCTTGTAAATTTTTAAATTCTGTGTAAGTTTCATAATGTACCAATGCCAGCATTTCCAGACATGTTCTAGACTTTGTTTAATTGATTAGGATAATCGGGATCAAAAAAATGTTTGGAGTCTACCACCCCTAAAGCTATTTATTATATCCTATGCTGGATAGCTCATTCACGAACAGAGTGCTGAGTGAATAAGGTCTTCTCTTTCTACTCCCAAGACAGCCTTCCTCTTGTCCCCACCTGCCTCACTTGGCCCCAGGACCTCGGATGGGGTAGGAGGAGTGACCAGCTGTGAAAGGAGCTCTGGTTGGAATGCTTCCTATGGGAGTTTCTGCCACAGATTAAATGCCCTGAGATCACCTTTTGAGAGACATTAAATTTCATGAGATGAACAGTTATCACATTGGGTATTATGAGTTGAATTATGTCCCCCAAAAAGATATGTTGAGGTCCTACCCCCCAGTAGCTGTGAATGTGACCTTACTTGGAAATAAGGTCTTTACAGATACAGATCAACTTAAGATGAAGTCATTCGAGCGAGCCCTAATTCAGTATGACTCTGTCCTTATAGGACAATCTGGACACAGTACCAACAGAGGAGAAGACAGCATGTAGAAGATGCGGGCGAGACTGAGTTTGTCTGCCACCAGCGCGAGGCACTCTGGGCTACCACAAACCTGAAGGGAGGCTTGGAACGAGCATTCTCCTCTCAGAGCTTTCTCCAGAATGATTCAAGGAGTGTCTGATTGCGATTCAGGAGTACGATACATTTGCTGGTTGTTGTTTAAACCACCCAGTTTATGGTTTCCTTTATGCGGAGCCCTTTAACAACCTACTTTGGAATTCCAGATGTTAAGGCATAAGGGCCAAAACTTTCACTTAAAAACCCCCCCATAAAGATCCACGATTACAATTACAGTTACCGAAAATCGAAATTCAGAAACCACCTGAGTTTATTATACACTTTTCAAAAATTGCATCTTAGTTTTGCAGGGGAAGTATATTACTATAGAAATAAGGAGAAGCCATATTTAAATAGAAGCCTTCCTTTCCTTTCTCCCTCCCTCTCTTTTTTTTTTTTTCTTTTTTTTCCTTTTCATTTATAAAAATCTTATGGAGGTTCCTACAAGTGCCAAGCGCTGCAGTGGTTCTTGGCATCCATCCAGAGCAAAGCACTTGTGGGACTTACATGCTAGTGTGGGACAAAAAACAAAAAATAGTAAGAAAGCAAACTATATCAGTGTGTTACAGTGAGAACAATAAGACGTGGTAAACGGTGGATGTGCTGGGGTGCGGAAGAAGTTTTCCCGCATTCAATGGATCGGCATCACACGGTAGTGTGATCACCAAAGCGCATGCCTTTCGGTGAAGTCAGCAGGACAACAGAGGCCTTGTGCTTCGCAGTAAGGGTGTTGAGGATTAGTGCTACCGGTGAGAACCTCACGAGGGAAGCATGAGTGACCATGCCAAGTGATACGCTATAATGCGTTCACCAGGTTGGGAAGGGGAGATGGGCACGGGACCAAGCCCAGGCTGTCGTTTGTGTCGTCCATATTGCGCTGGCATGTTCAGCCGTCCTCAAGCCATGGTCAGTAAGCGCCGTCTTCTTTTGCTAGTCTTGTAAGGGAACCAGAGGCGCTCACTGCCATGAGACAGCCCTGGCTCAGAGACTAATTTGAATAGCTGTGTCTTTGTCATGAAAATAGTTTTGTGATATTATGAAGAAGACATGCCTTCCTCTCCAAAGTATCGGTGTCACCTGGCCACATGTTTTTCTTTTATATGCATACATAATATTTCACATATTTATGGCATACGTGCAAGTATTCATTACATGCACTGAATGTGTAATGATCAAGGTAGAATGTTTGGAGTATTCATCGCCTTGAATATTTACCATTTCTCTGTGTTGGGAATATCTACTAAATATACTATGTACTTTTTTGTCACTGGGCTGGTGTTGATCACCATCATCAGGATCAGAAACAGAAGCAGCTGACCTTGTCAGAGCTTCCCATGGGTGTCATCTCACTTGAGCCTCCGTGCCTGGGGTGCTGTCCCTACTCCTCCTTTATGGCTAAGCTTTGTCTGCCTGCCCACCACCAACACGCCTCTCTCCTGGGATTAGCTCTCCAGCTCTGCTTTGAGGAACATCACTGGCCTCATTGGATAGTCTTGTAGGGAGTATTGATCAAGGTGTGCTGCCCTTCACTGACCAAAGAGTTCATACATGACTCAAACTAGGGCAGTCACATGATTTGTTTGGAATCTCAATCTTTTGCTAACTGACAAAAAACATGATTGGCTCTTACCCATCTGAGTGAGGGGACCAATGTTTTCTGGCTTCTGTCATTTTTGGCCTGCCAGAAATCCCTGACTTGTTCTTCAGCGTGTCTTTCCATTTTGAAAGTTACTTCACATGATAGGCAGAATAATGGCACCCCAAAAACGTGCACATTCTAATCCCCACATCCTGTGAATATGTTACCTTACACAGCAAAAGGGACTTTGCATCTGTGATTAAAGTTAAGCTTCTTTGAGATGTGAGAGTATCCTGCATATTGAGGTGGGCCTGGTGTAAATTGCAAGCGTTATTATATGTGAAAGAAGAAGTCAGGAGGGTCAGAGTAAAGCAGTGTGAGAAAAACCCAAGCAGCGAAGATGGGAGTGGGCCACTAGCCAAGGAACGCAGGTGGCCTCTGGAGGCTGGAAGAAGCAAGGAAATTGACTCTCCCCTAGAGCCCCCCGAAGCATTGCAATCCTGCTGGTTCTTTTATTTTGGCCCAGTGAGACACATTCCAGACTGACCTCCATAATTGTAAGATAATACATTGCATTGTTTAAACCACAAAGTTGGTGGTAATTTGTTACAGCAGCACTAAGAAATGAATATACCCAATATCGTTCTAGAAAGCTCCTTTCATAGTATACTTTTTGCTTAAATAAGCTAGAAGTGATTATTATTGCTTGTAACTGAAGAGCTAAAAGTAATAAACTAATTTCCAGGCTTCCGTCCCCTATATCCACCCCCTCATTCTGTTTCCAGGCCCTGATTTCTGTTCGACCAGCCTTCCTCTCCCCCATTATGAGGATCTGAGCCCTGCTTAGTGATAGGACCATGCCCTGTTGACAGGCCTCCCAGACACTAACTGGCTGCTCACCTGGTCTCCTGGCTATCATCTGAGCCAGATTCCTTGTCTCTGTGTCTTTTCCACAGGTCAGGTCACCCTGCTCCTTATCTGGGACCCAACTACCCCTTTTCCGTTATCACTTGGCTGGATCTTGACTTGCTGTTACATTTCTTTCTTGCACACTGTACCCTAGACAGAGACTCAGCCACTTCTGCCCCAGGATCAATGCCCTCAGAACTTACCAAACCCCAGTGGAAGGACTAATTCTAGAGCACAGCATACACCCAGCTGCTCCTTCCTGCTGCAAGTATCGCACTCAGACTGGCCACATCATAGCATATGACACACACGTGGATGTCTGATGGTTCAGGATAGCAGTACACAAGCAGAAGCTGGTCTCTTTCCAACCCAGAACTTTGTAATTAAACAAGCTTCTTGCTGTATTCTAAAAACACAAATCCTTAAAGTATGAATGAGAAATGAAACCCACTGACATAAAGGTTAGTGAGCAGATTTTGTGTTTTATATAACTAGTTCGAATTAGCAAGGAAGGCATTTGATGGGGCAGTTTCCTAATCGCTGACCTCACTGGGGCTCATTTCGGCTTTGCAAACTGGTTGAAATGAAAATTCAATGTGTTTCCTGTTCTCAAATTTATCTGTCACTCCAACAGGTTCATTACAATTGCAGGAGGTGCAGATGAACCATCCGGGGTGAGCTGCCGACTCCAGCATGTTCCGGGAGCCCACCTGAGCCCTATAAAAGATGAAGGGCCGGCGTGCTGATTCCTTTAGGGCAGCCAGCTTCATCAGTTTCTTCTTCTGTGAGGTAAAAGAGATTAATTAGACAGCGCAGGCTTTGAGAGGGAGAAAACCCCAGCACATGTGCTCATCCTCCAGGCCTTTACGCAGGAGAGGAAGAGAAGAGAGAAGGCAGATGGTCCTTGGGGAAGATGATGTGTCAGCCTTGGTACTGGTATTTAAGGGATGAGAAGCAATCATGCCTTCTTTTCCATACCCTCTTGTCCCCCAAATTAAAAATACATTGAGACAAAGAGAGAGATGTAAGAGTCAGATGGACACCAAAATCTCAGCTCTATAGTTTTTAAAGTTCGTTTAGAGAATATGGCCTAGATCTATATCCAGTTGAGCTTCCTAAGATTTCTCCCCTCAAGTGAAAGGATGCTCCATGCAGGACGAAATTTGCAGAGCAGGCACACTGCCCTCCGAGTGCTCCCTCACACCCTCCTGCCCCGCAGCAGCACGCCAGGGTCCTGACCCAATTGTGCTGCTTGCCACATGGAGGGCCCCAGCAGGAGGGGAGCGCCGCCCGCCCAGGGCCAGGGCCGGTGAGCCCAGGAGAGGAGAATGGGTGCTCAGTTCCTCGTTGTCTCCCTGCTGTGTGGAGTCCCTCCTTCCCTAGAAGGGGCAAGGAACCAGAGAAGAAAGTATGGGACTCTTCTGCCTGGTGCTTCCAGAAAGGTGGATGTCCCTGTAATATTGGCCAAGATAAGAATTTGCAGAAAAGCAAGAGGCATTGAGGATCTTGGCCTTTTACTTTGGAGTAGCCAAAGGCACAGGAAATTGAGCTAGAATTCTCACCTTCAGCTGAAGGGATGGATGACTTTGTCCTTTATCCTTGTCACAGGAGAGACAAAACTCCCCTTTAGAGACCCCCAAGAGAATCGGACTTCCTTTCTCCGCAGAGGCTGAGCTCAAGGATGAGGCTAATGCAAAGAAGATCTCTGGAAAAAGACAGTTAGAACGTGTGTGGATTCTGAGAGCAGGGAAAGGTCCCTCCTGTCTGCTGGGGTTTCAGGCCTGGTGCGCAGCCCCTCTCCCCTTGACTCTGTGGCCCACATCTCCCTCCATCATACCGGTTTAAGCTTCCTCTTCTTCCAACAACCTAAGTGTCTGCCTCCTTTTTTCCCACCCTTCCAGAAAGACACTGGTCATCGCTACAGATCTGGTCATCGCTAGAGACCCTTCCTCTGATGCCCTAGTCCCTGGGGCCTCTTCTCCCCGCTTCCACCACCTGCTGGAGATGGGGTATGGTATAGCACGGAGCTGAGCCCACCTGGAGGGAGGTCTTACCCCTGCTGGGTGGGGACAGAAAACACAGCCAAAACTGAGAGTCACCTGGGCGTATGTAGTTTTTATCTGGAACTGCTATGAGATTCCCAGAGTCCACGACCAGTACTTTGTGATCCTGGTCGTGAATGCTGAATTTCTTCGGGTTTAAGTTCTTCACCTTTGGACCTAGATCAATATCACCAGATATCAACAGTTCACATCGAAAATGAAAGACTTAGTCTTCTCTTCCCCACATCCAAGGGCCCCAGCCTCAGCTCTCCACCCTGCCTGTGGGCTCAGACATCACAGCCACTGAATATTTCTTCCACTCCTGGGCTTTCTATGTCGCTGGGACAAGCAATTTAGCATTCTGTGCAAGCACATGGGTTCCAGATTTGGACAGATGGATTCAAATCCAAGCTCTGCTGTAGGACAGAGGACAAGTTACTAAATCCCTCCAAACCTCAATGTCCTCATCTGTGAAATGAGAGTAATAACAGCACCTACTTGAGAGAGGAGTTATGAGAACTAAAATGCTTACTCAAATAGGTAGCAGTTAGCCTGAGCGAAGAAAATGTCTGACATGTAAAAAGGACTCTTTATAATCATTGTTTTTCTTAACTCTCTTTTTTGCACCCTCTGATTGGAGGCATCATTCTATCAGCAGTGCCTGGAGTGGGACAGATCCCTGCACTGGCCAGTCTAAGGGAGTGGTGATGGGAGAGTTGGGAGGGTTGGAGGCAGGAAGCCTCCAGGAGTCCAGCACGGTGCAAGGTTGGGCTTTAGCGGCTCCTTTGAAAAGCCACAAATCTTGCACCTGGCCCTGGAGGAAGAACTTCTAGCGGCAGGACCAGCCACAACAGTCCTCAGTTGGTTCTTAGGGTGTGGGCTCCTGGCAACTCATTTGGGCCAGGTCTGCCTAGAGTAGGGTCTTAAAAGGGAACCTTCCCTCCTGGCCTCTGATTGGACAGGTGACCCTCACCTCCACAAAGAGCTCAGGCACTTGTTTGATAAAGGGCAGGGGCCCCCAGGCTGGGCCAGTGACTGTCAAGAATGGGTGGGTGGCTGGAAAATGGCAAATGTGACAATATGACAACACAGTAACCACCACACTATGCGAAGCTATAATATGGGTATCTGTGATAGGCAATTCTAATGTAGAGAATAATTCTAAGGTGCCATTCTCCCCCCATGCCATAAGCACACGGCCTCTGCCTGGGTTTCTCATTGTGGAATGTCCTCCTGGTCTCCTCATGCCTAGAGAGAGGGGAGGACTCCTCCTGTAACACCGGCTCTCCTGCCACCTCCTCCCTGCAGCCCTCCTCAGCCCCCTCTGCACAGGCTGGCTTCCTCTCTGGTGCTGCAGCGCTCTGCAGTCGTCAGTGGTACCTGCACACAGGTATTGGCATCCTTGTCTTGCTGCCCTATAGCACTGTGAGCTCCCCAGGAGCAGGCTCCCTGTCTGACTCACCTGTGATCCTTCACCTCCCATCCTGTAGTGCCGCAAGCATCGTGGACACTCTCAGTGTCTATCGAAGAGATGGCTGGCCCCAGGCAAGATCCTAAGTAACTCCCCAGTGATATGGGGTCAGATGAGATCCATGGTTCTCACCCCTGCCTTCCATCAGAATCTCCTCGGGAGCTTTTCTGGACCCACCCCAGACAGTCTGAGTTCATGGGGCAGGTGCAGGTTGACTGAGAGTCACTGAGCTAGCTGAACTCTAAGCCTTTCCATTTCCCACACTTTAATGTGCAAGAAATCACCTGCAAACTATGGTTCAGTAGGTGGGGGTGGTACCAAGGCTCTGCCTTTCTGATGTGCTCTCAGAGCTGTGGGTGCTGCTGGTCTGAGGACACCCTTTGAGTGGCACGGCCTAAGCCTGTGGCTCTCAACCCTGGTGCACACTGGGAATCACCTGGTGGGTGGTATTTTAAGACCATGGCTACCTGGGCCTCACACTCCTGAGATTCTCATTCACTTAGTCCAGGGTGAGACTGGAAAATGCTATTTTTAAGAAGCTACTTTTCTAGCACTATCATCTTACTTTGTACCTCTTAAGTGCTTCTTAAAGCTGTTCTTTCCTTTTGTTTCTATCACAGCCTGACATACGATCTCAGCGTCTCACATGCAGACCAGTTCACTGTCCTCCTAATTGGTGTTCTTGCTCATGATCCTTGACCCCAAATCTTTCTGAAAGCCACTCTGAAGGTGTGAGTGGTTTTAAGGTGCTGGCAGTTGTTTTCTGTAGGGAAGTTGCACTCCAACAGCAGCAGTAACATCAGTGCCAGCGCCGGCTTTAAGGCACTAGTAATTTTCTGCAGGGCAGTAGCCCTCAGACTTTCAAGATTCATCACGACAACCTGGAAGGCTTGTTAAAGCAGCCCCCAGAGCCTCAGTCCCCTGAGTTTCTGATGCAGGAGGTCTCTGGTGGGGCCTGGGAATCTGTATTCCTAACACTTCTAGGAGCTGATGTTGCTGACGTTTGAGGACCAGACTTGGAGAACCACTTCTCCCAGATTTGAGGGACATCCCAGCCCTGACAAGGAGAAGTCAGGACAAGCCCGACAGAGAGACTTGTGCACTTGGTTCCACCTGAAGTGGACACAGTGCAGATTCAAAGCCAGCAATGGTGTAACTACAACAAAACCAAAACATCAAAGGTAACTGCAGCAGCAGCAGTGGAGCAGTGACAGCAGCCTCCCCCTACTGTGCCAGGCGCCCTTACACACCTGGTCCCATTTGTCCTCTCTGCCACTTTACCAGTGAGGCTCAGTCTTCATGCATCCACCTGCACTAGAGCTGGGGCTCAGACTGAGGTCTCCTGACTCTTTCCTGAGAAGAGGAGGTGACGGGAGCCTTAAGCCTGAGTCAAGCAGACAGATGTTATAGTACCTTTAAATTTCCACATCTGTCACTGACTACCTGTGTCACCTGGGGCAGGGAATCTCCGCTGTCCGTCTCGGTTTCCACGCCTGAACAGTGGTAATGTTAACAGTTTCCTACTGGGGTGTTGTGGTGTTCAAATGGCAGCATGAGAGGAAGGTTCAGTCTCCGAAGGCGCTGCCCTGAGCCCTTAGTGGTGTGGGTGTCCCTGTACACCCGCTGGCCACGTGGCTGTTTGTCATCGGTGTTGGGAGGGGGTCTGTGTCTCCAGTCTCTTGACTATGATCAGAAGAGGCACCTGGAAGGTTCCCAGGCACAAACTCTTCCTTGCCCTGTGCCTCTTAGCAGGTGAGCATCACCTGCCCCTCCCCTGGCTCATCTTTCCCAGAGTTCTCTCCTGATGGGATTTGCTTCCGAAAAGGAAAGACTTCAGCCCCATCCAGCACCCTTAGGTGTCCCCAGTCTACAATTCTCCTACCCTCTAAGAGGGCCCAGTGGCGCCATCCCCCATCCCCACCCTCGCACCTCAGCCACCGCCATCACCTCACCCTGGGGCCTTACTTGTGTGAGCAAAATTCATGGAGGGGAGGCTTGGGCCTGGTTCCAGGGGGCTTCCAGCCGGGTCTGCAGTCAGACACAGTGAGGTTAGCATATGCAATTGGGATTTTCCAAGGATTTAGGGGTATCAAAGACCATGTAATTCCCTCTTCTGTGTATGTGCTGAGAAATACTAGAGCAGCATGATAGTAATGACATTAAATCATAGCTTCCCTCTTCAGAAACATAGAATAGAGATGAACTGGCTCAGGGGTTTGGCCTCTGACATGCTACAGGCCTCTCCCTTCACACCTCAGTAGACAGTCATTGGGTCAAAAGCCTCCTCCTATTGTCCCCCAAGGGCAGCACTCAACTGCATTCCTTATGGCGTACTCAGATGCCCTGTGCCTGGGTCATTTTTTCAACCCAGCCTCAGACAATCGCTTCTCATCGGAGGTTTCTCTTCCACTTGGGAAGGTTGGGAGGGAAGAGATGCATTTTGAAGGATATGCAACCATCCAGTTGGCAAACAGGATGCTAAAGTCCCAAATCTGTAGGTGAGGACGATCCTTTTATCTACCACCTTATGTGCCTGGACACTGAAGCAAAGCTTCCTTTTCCCTTCCAGAATTTCTCTTGTCTAGTTATTTGTCCAGGGAAGTTTGAAAGCTCACTGACTGTGCATGGTCCGCAGGAAACAGCTGGGTCTGTGCACAGCACCTAGCAAAGTCCTGCTCTAGGAATTACACTTTGGCCCTGAGGTGGATTTCTACAAGAACCTTACCTTCTGAGTAGCACTGGGGTTCATCTTTTTCTGAGTAGCACTGGGGTTCATCTTTTTCCCAGTCTTCAGAGCCCATTTTCACTCCTGAGTTCTCCCCCACAAAGGACATTTTCAACGTTGAGTTATTACTCGTCAGAAAATGGAATGAAGTCCAAGGCCTAAGGAGATAGAAAGGGGACCAGTTATGGCATCTTCTGACCCCAGGACACCTTGCTGGATGTCCCTGGTGCTGAACATACCACTGGCCTTGCTCTCTAGTTAGAAATGCTTGCTGCAACCAGAAAGGCCCCAAGGGGCCAGACCATGCTCTCCTGCCTGTCACTCCTTCAAAGTAGAATTTTCCGAACTGTGAGTCACAGTGCTCACACACAGGGTGCAGTAGCATTTTTGTGGATCTCGGCATTTTATAAAAATAAAATAAAATAAGTTAAAAGTGCATTGCTCTAGTCTTGGGGCTGGCACACTATGGCCCTTGGCCAAATCTGGTCCCTGACTGTTTTTTTAAATAAAGTTTTATTGAAACACAGCCATGCTCTTGTTTACATATGGTCTGTGGCTGCTCTGAGGCTACAATAGCATGGTTTAGTAGTTGAGAGATCATCTGGCCAGCAAAGCCTAAAGTACTTACCATCTGACACCTTCTATAAAAGTTTGCTGAGTCTCTGCAGTAGCCTAATCTTTGCCTAACAAAAAGCAGTTGCTCTGCAACCTCTTTTCATGAAAACGTAAGCCACTAAAGGTCCCAGGAGGCCCAATCCCTAATATCTTAGGATAGGATTGACTCACATGACTTGCTTCATTGGGAGGGGTTGGAGGAGATATATTTATATATACAAATTCTGCACACCCTATCTCAGTTGACAAAGAGCCTTCCACAACATCAGCCCAGGCCAACATAGGACAGAAGTAGAGCAAAACTTGGTATTCCCATCTTACAGATAAAAAATCTGAAGATAAGTGGCTTGTTCAGGATCACATTACTTCTAAGATGTCAGAGATAGGCAGTTTGTGTACAAACCCAATCCTTTGAGAATGGTTTAGGAGCGAGACAAAGGGAACAAAATTGTTCATGCAAAAAAAAAAAAAAAATGACAAGGAAGGGCTTCAGGACTCAACAATAAGGACGGTGAGCAGGAGCAAGTAGGTAGAGCTGATGCGTCTTTAAGGACAGGGATATCTGCTATTTGATTTTAACCTGTTTGTGGTTTGGCAGTATCCCTGAATACATGAAGCACAACTGCCTTTGTCATGTTGGGGTAAATCAAAGGACACAAAAAATTGGAGGCACTTGACTGAGAATGTGGCAGGCAGAACATCAGAGCAAGAGATGTCTGACAGAAATGCAGGTGTCCAAAGACATAAAGATACTGCGGTGCTGCTCAAGGACAGAAGGATGCTTACAGGCTGGAGGACCTGGGGTCATCCCTGGGGGGTACTCATGAAATCGGCTGCCTGTATTAAGATAAATGCAGGGAGCTTTCACAGAACTCCCTAAAGAAGCAGTGCATCTGGCCATCTGAAATCCATCTCTTTGCCCTCAAAATCTGTTCCCAAGGACCAATATTTTCTAGACTCTGAAGTCAGTCTCCTGAGCCTTCAGAGAAGGGACTAGCAGCATTTCCAGGGTTTGCGGGTTTCCTAAGCTAGTGTCTGCCTGGCCCTCCAGCAATGCCCTACTTGTTGGCGGAAGCCCTCCTGGGAGAGAGCAGGCTGCTACTGGGGCTGAGAGCAAGGTGTTCTGGGCACGTCTCCAAGATCATATTTAGAAATTCAGATGTGCTTCCAGTGGAGATAAAAAGCAAGGGTCGAGATGGCCAGATGCTACTCTACTTCCCCATCCATGCCTGTTGGTCTTGAAAGCGAGCACAGGAGGACCACCTACCTGGGCCAGGGATCCTCGTGGTCTGTGGCTCTGTCTTGGACTCCTGGAGCTCTGTTTGCCTTCAGTTCTTAGGATCCTTTACCTGAAGGAGCTAGGTCTGGAACTCATGTGAGTGGCTATGCAAATACAACACAGTGTTCCTTTAGCCAATAATAAATAGCATCCTGGGTTATCAGTCATCACTCATTTCCTGCTATTTTCCATGCCAAGGGTATAAACAAATTCCTGTGGGGGTAGTGCCACTCTGCTAAGGACTGTGCCACACCCATTCAACACATTTCAAGGCACTTGTGATAGATCAGGTGGCTTCCAGTCCAGTCCAATAACAGAGGTATAGAAAACAGAGGAGAGTGAAGAAAAGAGGGTACACAGGGTTTAGATCAGCCAATGAGCCTGGGAGGTTCAAGGAAGCCCTTGTTCTCATGATGGTTCTTTGCCCCAATCCCAAAGTTCATGCAAGTGGAGTCCCCATGTCCCAGAGTGAAGGGGTGGCCTGCCCCTCCACACCTGTGGGTGTTTCTCATTAGGTGGAATGAGATACTTGAGAAAAGAAAGGAGACACAGAGACAAAGTATAGAGAAAGAGAAAGAAAAAGTGGGCCCAGGGGACTGGCGTTCAGCTCACAGAGGACCCACGCCGGCACCAGTCTCTGAGTTCCCTTAGTATTTATTGATAATTATCTTTACCATCTTAAAGATAAGGGAGTGGCAGGACAATAGGATCATTGTAGGGAGGAAATCAGCAGTAAGACATATGAACAAAAATCTCTGCGACATGAATAAGTTTAAAGGAAAATGCTGTGCCTTGAGATGCATATGCAAACATCTCCATAAACCTTTTAGCAGCATTGTTTCAGCCTATCACATGGGGAGAAACCTTGGACAATACCTAGCTTTCCTAGGCAGAGGTCCCTGCGACCTTTGGCAGTGTACGTGTCTCTGGGTAGTTGAAATTAAGAGAATGGTGATGACTTTTAACCAGCAAGCTGCCTTCAGGCACTTGTTTAACAAAGACACATCCTGCACAGCCCAAAATCCATTAAACCTGAGTCACCGCAGCACATGTCTCTTGCAAGGACAAGGTTGGGGGTAGGGTCACAGATTAACAGCATCTCAAATACAGAACAAAATGGAGTTGCTTATGTCTACTTCTTTCTATATAGACACAGTAACAGGCTGATCTCTTTTTCTTTTCCCCACACCAGAGAAAAATGTTCTCCTTTCATGTCCCCTTCCAGGTACACTCCGGGATGCACTGACAGTGCCCTATATCTCTTCTGTGTCCCCTCTTCTTCAAAGGTGACATGCAAAGGAATCTTCCTTGATCAAGCCCTCCAAGGACTAGCTTCCTTCTACAGCCCATTAGCTATT